ACCTGCTCCCCCTTCACACCTGAGACTTGTGACACTAATGGGTCTCATGACACCAGGGAGGGAAAATGGCTACTTGGGCCCAATTTGGACATTGTCACTTAGGGGTGTACTCACTTTTGTTGCCAGCAGTTTAGACATTTAATGGCTGTGTGTTGTGTTATTTTGAGGGGACAGCACATTTACACTGTTATACAAGCTTGGACGTGTTGGCGCTGTGGGCTAAACCGCAGAAGCCTGTGCTGCAGGGTCAGAAGACCAAACAGTCGTAAGATCGAATCCACGCGACGGAGTGAGCTCCCGTTGCTTGTCCCAGCTCCCACCAACCTAGCGGTTCGAAAGCATGCAAATGCAAGTAGATCAACAGGGACCACCTCGATGGGAAGGTAACAGCGTTCCATGTCTAAGTCGCACTGGCCATGTGACCATGGAAGATTGTCTTCGGACAAAACGCTGGCTCTATGGCTTGGAAACGGGGATGAGCACCACCCCTTAGAGTTGAACACGACTGGACAAAAATTGTCAAGGAGAACCTTTACCTTTACCTTACAAGCTGTCTACTCACTGCTTTACATTGTAGCCAAGTGTCATTTCTTCAGTGTTGTCACATGAAAAGATATACTAACATATTTATGAAATCTGAGGGGGTGTACTCACTTCTGTGAGATACTTGTAGCTGCAATTACCTGCAGCATGTTACATAAACGGTATGCAAACACTAACAGGATTCTGGCCAGTATTTTGTATGACTAGTTTAAATGGTTATTTATTCCTTCTACCTTTAAGTTTCTTTCCAGCTGAAATTTGGACACATTTTATTGTATCTTTGAACCTGTAATAAACAGTCTGATCTGAAATATTATACAATATTATGCTACAATTCTAAAAAAGATTTTAAGATCATGAGTCCATATTGTTTATCATAATTAAGAGTTCAAACAGCAAATCCCCTATTTACAGTGATACCTCACAAGATGAGTCGTGTCGTACTGCGAAAATTTCATCTTGCGAAGTGCGGTACTAACGGTTGTGTGATTTAAAACAAACCCAAAAAAGGGAAAAATTCATCTTCCGAAGCATGGCCATAGAAAAATTCGTCTTGCGAGTCACCAAAAGATTGCAAAATGCTTTCGTTTTGCGAGGCATCACTGTATATCTTACCTCTGCCACAATGATCTTTAGCGTGTTACATTCTTTCAGTGAAAAGAACCCTTCTGCATTCTCATAAATAGATAATATTGGGCTAAAAGATATTGTTTTTTACTTTATAAATTTATAGCCATCTCTTTAGTGCAAAACTCTCAAGCCTGATTATTAGGGATGTGCAGAACAGAAACTTTTGGTTCTGTTTCATTTCAGTTTCTTGGGGGTGGGCTCTTTAATTATTGTTTTTTGGAGGGAGGGTACCACTCTTTTCATTTATTATAAAAAGGCACCTCTTTCTGACTATTTTGTTTTTGTTTTTTCATTAGTTTTTGGGGCTGGGCAAGGGAGGAAAGTGAGATGGGCAAATGTGCTAAGGAGGTGCACAGCAAGGGTGGCAGTGAGGGAAAATGAGAGAGAGGAGAAATAACAGGTTGTTTGACAGGGCCAGGAGGCATGTAGAAGTGGTGGCTGTGAGGAAAGGACAGAAAGGACACTGAGACGGGGAGACTATATTTGTCGGAATATCAATGTGAAGCAATTTTAAATACGTAGGTCAAATGGAGGCAATCTAATAGAGGAGATCTGATTATTTTGTGATCCTTTCTTTAGTTAAACTAAATGAATCAGTTTTCAGACTTTATTGTAAATTACAGAACGAATTGGACATGGATAACATGAGACTCTTTCATGTTTTCTCAATAGTGTTAACCCAGAAGTCTCATGCCTACTAAGTGTACTTAAAATCAATAAAAACAAATATAATCAAATAGGGACAATTAAGAAAATCAGTAGAAAAAGGGGAAGTTTATTAACAGTTAATGAGTTGTTTATTGAGAAAAATGAGCTCACTAGGAGAAAATGGAGACACACACCTTCCAAATCTAAATTGCAATGAATTCCTTCAGTGTTCAGATTCTGACTCAATCCATTCGTAGATG